AGCCATTATATGCATGCTCAATGGCACGTGGCCACAAATTCGCCAATCACCAAAATTTAGCAATTTGCCAAATTTTAGTCCCTCCAAAATTTCCCACTATGCAATACTCTATGGTTGATAGCTCAGTTGGTACTAATTATTAAAACTGTATGATAGTGCGTGGGTTTAGTTTAGTTTTTTTTCAGGAAAATTATCAAATAGCCTCAACCAAAATTTTCAATCATAATACTGTTAATCAATGTATAACATAATACTTAATTCATAAAGTGTCTGTATTCATGTAGTATTGTTTGGTGATGATGAAGCTGCTCAGAAGATTCTTGATACGAGTGAACCACGTGAACAGAAAGCTATCGGACGGACTGTGAGAAATTTTGACGATAAAGTCTGGAAGGAGAATTGCCGCAACATTGTTAAAAGGGGAAACAAAGCTAAAGTAAGTGATTTAGGATCAAAACTTTAGATTCTCCATTGATTATAATCAAAATTAGAATTTTTAACTTTGTTAAAAATCAGGCCAAAAACCATGGGCTATAATAATTCATAGAAATGGTTAGGAGAAAATTCTTTGTTTTCCTGATGCATAATACTACAATACATGTCTTTATGCTAAGAATAAAGTTTCAGATCAAAATTAGACTTTTTATGAATTTTGAACTTGCTCCAAAACCGGGTGAAAGACCCTGTACTATAGTACAGGGTCATCGGTCAAATTTTGTCAAAAATGATTATGTGAGAATCCTCCATTTTTATAATTTTTGCTGATATGTATACATGTACTAATGCTAAGTATAAAGTTTGAGCTTTTTCCGATCAAAATTGGATTTTTTAATGAATTTTTAAAGTTACTGAAAATTGTGCCAACCCTACAGAGATATTGGTCAAAGTTCAATGAAAATGACTAGATGAGAATTCTTTATTTTTACATTTTAAAAATAAATATATATGTACTTATGCTAAGTATAAAATTTGAGCTGTTTCTGATCAAAATTGAATTTTTTATAAATTTTTAAAGCTGCTACAAAATTGGCCCAAAGACCATGAGCTATTGTACAGGATATTTCATCAAAATGGCTTGGAAAATAATTATTGCCATTTTTATAACCAAATGTAATGTGCTACATCACATCAAAGTGCACTCTCTAATTTACATGTATTGCATATATCCATTCATCCTTGATTCATTTTATAAGACAATTGCTAGAATAAAAATAATTGTTCTTTTTAGTTTACTCAGAACGAGGATTTAAAGGAAAAGCTAATGTCTACTGTTGGTACAACACTAGTAGAGGCTAGCCCTAGGGACAGGATATGGGGCATTGGTTTAGGAGCTAGTAATCCGAAAGCACTGAACAGAAAGACGTGGCGTGGCACAAACTGGCTAGGACAAGCAATTACTGAAGTAAGAGAAGAAATACTAGCATCAAGTGACCCACCATTGGATGCATAACGATTAACAAAAATTGACTTTTATGCTCATTTTTATGATTAAATTTTTATAATAATGTATTTGTACTTTATTCAAGCTAATGAGTTTAAGTTTTTTGGTTTAACTTCTGTGACTGGTTTTACCTATAGACATCAATAGAAAGGGATATAAAAATTTATCGGTTTATAGTATAGATAGAGGTGTGATCATATCTCACTAATTTGTGAACGTGTTAACATTCCTGTGCTCGAAGTATTTCACACATTAATATGATTGATCGTGTGTGTGCTGTCATTGGGTGTTTGAAGATTCCTTCTATTTTAAATGTGCATGCCTACCTTTTTATTATTGAATTACCTAAACTAGATCTACTACTAAAATAATAAAAAGAACAAATTATTAACTAAAAGCTACAAATTGTAGTTTTTTACCGTTAAGTGTGATGTTAGCTGTGTATTTACGAGAAGATTTGAGTGTCACGATAGCACTATAGTTGCCAGTATCATTAGCATGAGGACGAAAAACAACGATTGGTAATACTAGTGGCTTGTATCCAAATGCTGATTCCGGTTCCAAGTGACAATAGTTTGGTGGGAATGGGTTCTCACGGAATACGTGAGGATCTGCAAGAGTCTCCTCACCATTTGGCATCACTTTGTAGAACTTTATGGAGTGCATAATCTTATAGTCAATGTACACCAGAAATATTAGACTGATGGAATCATTTTCAGTGATAGTTACAGTGCTGTTTGATGGCTGCATAAGATAGATTCCTTCAGGAGCTGCAAAAAAAAACATAAATAACAAAAGTATATGT